CTTCAAGGCTCTATTAGTTATGCCACTGTATTACGCCGCTTGTTCCAAAGTTCGGCGCTCGCTCATCAAGCTCGGAACCGGGAGGGTTTCAACGCGGGGACTTTTATGAGTGTTGACGAAGCGCTAACCGACGTCTTCGCTTTTACCTTATCCCCGCCGTGCTCTGTCGTTGCCTCGTTCGTGGTTTTACGAGCGGAGGACTGCAAAATATAATTTAACGATTCGCCATGTTCAGCTTTGCCCGCGTTGCCGCGCTCATGCAACGTGACATCGCGCAAGCAGCAACCGAGAGAAAGAGAGATATTTCCTCGAGGACTGCACCAAGCCAAGCCGCCTTTTAGCAAGATGCTGCTGAGGGTTAAATGAAACGTTAAACTACTTTAACTTATGTGCGCGCGTATCTAATTAAATTTGCCCCTGCATAATCGCACGCCGGAGTTCACTGAGAGAACGCGCGCGACTTATCGGCGTCTTTCGCGCGCTTAGCGTATGCTTAGCATCGACACATTTTGACTTCTTATCATATTTATCAAATACTCTGGCGCTATTTCTGCGCTTTCATATCTCATTTATCATAGCTTTCGTATAATACGATATAAATGGATAATGTGATAATTTTTTTACCAGAATCCTACACTTTTTAACGTTAAATTAAAATTTACAAGAAAAAGATAGCTGAAAAAAAAATCCATATTTAGCATCTGTAAAAATATTTAAAAATAACTGCAACTTTTAGCTTTTAATAACAAAGTTGAGAGATTACGACTTTTCAAACGTTAATTACGCAAAGAAAAAAGATTAACTTTGACTATTACATATAATTCAACGTGCTGCGGGGATGCGTGGTTGCGTTCGTATGCTTCTTATGCTGATGGTATAGGTGTTAATGTGAGGAATGTGAAGATCTCGCGGAATTTAATCGCGCGCGGTGAAAATGCAAGAGAGTAGTTCTGTAGTCTCAAGCGCGATTCTATAACAAGCAAGGACGCTTTGATATCGTTAATGTACAACGTGGATGTAGCTATTCCCGTAAATTAACGCAAACAATGGTACACACCGGGCGAGTGTCTGGGCCGTGCGCGCGCGCACGCGAGTCTCAACCAGAATACGCGGCGAGTTAAAATTTTAACACTGGCTTAATTCTCGCCGACAACGCGGGGCGAAGCGCCTGGCAAATTTAATCTGCGAGATTTGAATAATACGTATGCACGCGCAATTTTCGCATAATTCTATATTTAACCGTTGCGAAAGCGGATGAATCTCGCGAGAAAAACGCCCACCGCCTTCCCCGCAGCTTCAGTAAAATAGTTACTTTTCATGTATCTTTCATGTTCAATGTACGTCTTTCTGCCGACAGAAATTCCCGCGCGATTACGATCGTCATACTGTGTAAACATTGTGCAAAATTGATGAATGTGCCAAAGTGCGCATGAGAGAAATTCTAACGCCCGGTATTGTGCAAAATATAAATTTTTTTTACGATTTTTTTTTAAATAACGGGATGGACTTTGAAAATGAATTGGGTATATCGAAGAGTTTGTATTTTATTTTGGGAAAACACGACGTATCGAGTGTATCGATAGTGTATGTTATTTTTGGTGTCGCCCTATGATATTTGGTGGCGCGTCCAGTTCTTGTTTCGTGATAAAACATTGCTGTATGATGAAAAATGTTGTCAAGAATGCATCATCAGTTCCCGAAAATGTCCGTATGCCGGCAATCTATCCCGCAATGCGTTAACAGTTTCGAGCGATAGATACGGTGATGCGCGCGGACGCACAATTTTCGAGCGAGCTTTCGCTTAACGAGTTCGAAGACAGGTAAGATTTACGAGAAAAATGCTTGTCAGCGCGTGCGATGGAATTTATGAAAACTCTCGTTTCGCTCCGGCCGGCGCCGTCAGTCCCCCCCGTCTCGCTCGCATACGGCTCTCGTTCTCGCCGCCCCTTTTCTTTCCGCCGCGCGCTTGCCTCCTTATTTCTCGTCCATCCATTTCCCTCGCGCGAAACTTGGCGCTTCGCTATATGCAGAAAGTACATCGACTTGTGATGTACTTTTTGCGATACATTAAGCCGTATATTTTATGGGATGTGCGTATAGCGCGGCGGCGGCAACATGCGGTGAGGTGCTATCGACTGGCGCGTGAAAGAGAAGGGGTGCACGTGCGGGGTACGCAGGAGGCGTTGCGAAGACACGCGAATAACGTTAAAGGCGCGAGCGAGTGACTGATGTGACTCCCGGGGGTCGCCTCTCACACAGGCAGGGGTTATCAACCCCTCTCTGTTAAATTACACTTAACTCGATCTTACGGCCGACAATGGCACCGTTATTTCCATTCGATAGAAAGTCACACTATGACAAATAGCGTCGTCGTAAACTCGCACCGACAAATTCAATTTACGGATGCTGAGCGCCGTTGTTGAAAGCACCGCGGGACTGACAATGAGACGCGAAGATAAAAATCGCAGCTATCGTGCGAACAATTACGTCATTCTCCGTATAACATTACAATGAGTTAATTAACAAGTAGTGTAATTTACTTAATTGAATTTCCATTTAAATATTTTAAAATATATTTTTAACGTTTCTTTACCGACTTACGAATATTTATCGTCATTAATATTGAAAATACCGTCTTTCGAATCGTAAGGCAAACCTTGATGGCAAAAACTATAAAAATACACGCTGCAAATATTCCTCCCATCTAATTACAATAATAATAGCAGTGTATGACGGCCCGCCTCGGTGCCGAACGAATTTACATAAACGCCCAGCATACTTCATTATCGCGACTATTGATCGTGGAAACGACCGAGCTCTCGTAGCCCAGCCGACTCATTCGGAGGATTTCGATTTCTCTCATTCCCGATCATCCTATGATTATCCGATTTTCGGATCGACGGTTTTACGAGCGGCAAGACTAGCACGCGTGCTGTGGATCGAGTTTCCGGTCGGATGCGTTTCGCCCATCGAACGAGTTTCCTCCCACCTCGTGGCGTTTCTTTACGGCAATTTCTAGCAAGATTGCCACGCCGCGCACACACGCCCGTATCGGCGCGTCGTCGTTCGTACACGGCCTCGATGCATACGGATGCGCCGAGTAGAGTATGCAAACGTATCCATAATACATAGCGCGCAACACGCACACGCGATGCGCGAGGCATACACGTAGCGACGGCGGCGGTTTCGCCGCATCTAATGTACACTTTTCACGTCGCGGCAAACTGCGGCGGGCACCGTAAAGATAGTCCGGGGAAGTGCACGCCGGTATTACGTGACGTGCCGCTCGATAATGATACCGCCGCCGCGCGATAAAAACAAAGTGAGCGTTATATACATGCATTTATATGTACGTATGTAAGCGGGGCGGGCGGGCGGGCGGGGGACAGCGCGCGTATAAGCGGTATAGAGGTAATGATAATGGGATGCATTGCGCTTTAACGAAACTCCGCAACACGCGCTGAAAATTATTCGTGCCGCCCTCTCTTATCACGCGCCGTCTCGACTTTCTCGCGGATTATTATTAACATATTTCGCAAGAAGTTTCCGTTTAGCAGTGATGCACCTTATAGTTTCGTCGAGAACGTTTTCCCTATTCAATTAAGTTTAGACACGAGAAGAAAGAGTTGGAATATAAAAAAATTTTGATAAAAATAATTTATTGTAATTAGGATGTCTTGCGCAGAATATTTATTTTGGTAAAATCTGTATAATCGCTAATTAGAGAAGGAGTTAACTGAAGTCGCGCAACATTTTTTTTTTTCGTTTTATGATGGATTATGGATTTAAAAAATAGCAGAACATCGATGTTGAAAAATACCAGTCATATCTACATGTAGCTAGACACGAAACATACCTACTTTTGTACGAGTTAACAAATAATTGGATAGATTGTGTGTAACTAAGATTTTATCAACGAGCTAATGGACATTCGCGGTAAAATTTGTTATGAGGTTATGCTTATAAAGAGATCTTAACATTTTACGTTTACATTTGCGAGATCGTAGATTAATGCCAGTCCGTTGATCTTTAAAGTAGCGCGCGCACGATCAAGCGCGACGACGCACGATCAGACACGCAACGCGTTTCGATCGCGCTATACTCTTTCTGAATTATAAATAAGATAACGTCAATAATAAATTGACTTTCGTCCTATTATCGACAATATTATCACAATTCTCGCAGTCGTATCGCGCCAAGTGTAGCTCGGAACAAGATTGCCAAAGACGGAACGCACCCTCGGCGAATGATGCGTTCCGCCGAACACGGTGATACAGTGCCCGAGCGAAACTTTTTACGGAGCTTCGTCGAGCGTTTCGGCATCGTCGTCAAGATCGAAAGCCGATGTAGCGCCGACGAGACGCCAAAGCCGAGAATCGTTAAGCGCACGCTGAGCGCGCCGGGCGAAGTAGCGCGAGCACACTTTACGGCAGCCGGCGGTTATGAGCGCGCGTATGACCGGGCACGAAGTGTGCTTCGGTGAGCGAGCGAACGAGCGAGCGACGGGGGCCAGGTGTGCTCTCGGTAAACGAGATGGATGTGCTGGATGTTCGCGTATCGCGTGACCACTCGATCAACGCCGTCGCGAGTTGACAGTGACTTACGCACCCGGGCACTCAACGAGATATGACATGCGCCACTGGTCGCGCGCCGCCGACGGGTCGCCATTGTTACCTACCTGTGTACCCGCCAAACACCCTTAATCTTTCTATCTTTCATAGCTTTTGTCATCGTTCGATCGCTCACGTACCCCATATTTCTCTTCTCGCCCCCCCCCCTTCTCCTTCCTCGCCGCGCTCCAACCGCTCTTATCGGCCTACTTCCCGTCTCGCGAATAAAGTGCAACGCTCGTCGCTCGCCGCGATAGCGCCGTTTATTTCACGTTGCGGCGCATTTACGTCGAAACTGCATTTTGAAACTAGGCTCGGGGACACGCGACTTGGCGCGTAACGAACGATAGAGCGCTGGTCGTAATGATTGACAGACGATGGGTTACTTACCGGTATCCAGAACCGTGTATCGTGGATTCGACGTGTCAATAGGCAGCATGTCTCGCACCCAGGAGATGATGGGCGGCGGCGATCCGACTGCCGCGCAAAGAAGGACCGCGTTGTGACCCATCTCGACTACTTTCGTAGTTGGCGCTTGAGTGATCATCGGGAAACCCGTCGGAAGATCTTCCGCTGTAATTAGAAAGGAGGTTTCCTTAGTTATTATAGGCATTACATAATAGCGTTTAAAAGCTGAAGAAGTAGAAGAATTATGCAGCAAGACGAAACTGCTGATAATATCATACAGATAAAGAAGCTTATATATTCATTTTTTACGAAACTTTTATGAAAGTTCTTCGAGAAGCGAATGTTTAATACCCGTAAGCAATAAAACAATGAATTATCATTAATATAGAGTAAAAGAATATTATAATAGAGATTATAATAGAGTAAAAGAAAACGAAATGAATAAATAAAAGTATTACAAATAAAACGCGTTAAGAATATTAAAGTTTATATGTAAAATTAATAGACGCGATATTTCAAAAGTATGACCTGGTTGCGTATCTTAATAAAGATCGCATATTACTTGCTGTTATGTTACTTTTGGACGTTTATTTAAAAATTCTTTTTTTTTAAATTTTACCAAATGCGAGATGACATAATTTTAAAAATAATGTGCGCAAATTTAACGAATTTACATGAGCTTTTCTATTTGCTACAGTATTTTCGCACGAATGAATAGAAATATCTATTTTTAATTAATTAGATTTTGTTTTCCATTGCTGACTATGTATTTTTATCTATTTTTTGTCTACAAAATTCTAGAATAGTCTAGAATTCTAATAATCAAATAAATTGATACAGCACAGAGTACTAATGCATGTCGTTTAATTAGGAGACTGTCGGAAATATCGCGCTTAGCGAAAATTGTCAAAATATTTGACATATACACGCCTTTTGCATTGATACGGAATAAACTTTGTGGCTCGTCAATTATACATTGGACATGTCGTAAGGTAGATCCGGATAGCTCTCTGCGGATCGCAGACGGGCATCCGGCGACCAGTCTCACGGGATCGAAAGTTAGGAAAAGCCACTGGAACTGGCCGGCCGGTAGCGCCGTTTCCATTTCCCACTGCGGAAAACAGATCTTCCGTCCCTCGGAAGGCAGTCCGCTGATATGGATAGATGCGCTGGAACGTTGATGCGATCAGGAATGGAATCGCAGAATTCAATATACCGCGCGGAGATCTTTTGAAAGGATTTGCCAAAAGGGTCAAATATATCGCACGATTCTTGCTTGACATACTCTACTTTCTTGTTTGGACGTTGGGTAATTGACACGAATGTCTCGTAAAAGTAATTTAATTTACATTTTATTACTTAATCTGTTATTTTCGCAGATTATCACTTTAGCTTTAATCTCCTCGCTTTGATGTAATTATATGATGCATGTGTAATAAGATCGTGACAAATTCATTCTCTTAATAACGAAAGTAAAATACATTAAGCTAATTAAAACGGACAGGTGACCGTCAGAATATTCTAAACATCCAAAAAAAAACACTATATTTCGACAAAGATAAAACGAAATTGCACTTACGATCACATCGGATATGCGTGAATCTTAAAAGGCTGTACAAAGTGCCCGCACGGTCTGATCGATATCCAATTAAAAAAGTTGGTTCGATAGAAGCTGAGCGCATCAAAGGAACGATGCACGGAACCGTGCGTGAAGTTCAGCCCCGGGGCGAGCAAGGAGATTAATTCGACCTGTTTCGCGGTACACGTGATCCGACCCACATCGCTTCCGTTCTTCATGTAATTACGACGGCGCTACATTAATCCTTGGAGTGAACGCGTAGTTAAATCTAAGTTGGTGACGCGGCATACAAAGTTCCGAACAACTCCCGCGATTGTCCTTGCTTCCGTTTCGACGGCACTCATACGACACAGGTGAAGAGAATATCTCAGTCGATTTAATAACAATCTCTTGACGCCGGTTGCTCGCAATTGAAATCATAATTATTCGTAAAGTTTGTCTCGCATGAGTGTAAATTAAACGTCCAGTGCAAAACAACACGATGCAATGGTAAAAGATAGAATTCTAAACAAATTGTACACAAGTTTTTCGAGTCTTATTTTGGATCACTCTATACATATTTTTATACAAAAGTAAAATCAGAGAAAATGATATTTTATACATTATATATTGATAAATTTCAAAAATTGACTTCAAATCGCATATTTTAGGAAGGTTCCAATTTTGCAACAGGATAACGACATTCGAATGGCAATTTATAAAGAAGAGAGCTCTGTAATTTTTACAGAGTTTTAGCCGTTTGAGGTTAAAGTTATTGAAGAGCGAACTTGAGACTTATTACAAGGCCCACAAACTGGGTGAAAGTTCACCGTGAGGGCGCGATCAAACTGCAATTACCACCGACGCCTCGGGGCGGCTCTTAGAAAGTCCATCTTTCACAGTCTCGTCAATTACAAGAGCAATCGGAACTCGCGGACAAAGTTAGTGGTCGGGCAGTACTTTCGCGTATTCTGATCTACTCGCCTCCATTCGCAAATATATTTTAAATTAGTGAACCTGTTGGATCTTCACAGATCGCTGGTTGCTTGCTATAGCATAAAGATTTTTCAAAGATTGATACAATTGCACTCAGTCGTTTTGTCTTCTTCGATAACATTAGTATCTTCTTTAGCCGTTAATGTTATCCGAACAGCCGGATGTTCGGATGATTGGCGGATAAAGGAAAAATTATTGGCTTTTTTTACATACTTCATCCTTAGTTTCCATTCATCCATTTAATTCTCCTTCCGATCGAAGGTTTTCATTGAATAATTATTCGATAAAATCGACGTGAATCGGGTTTTCTCTTTTAGTTAATGATATTTTTTGACTTTGGTCGAGTATTCATATCTTTTAATGTGATTTACATTAAGTCAGTTTCTTTGAACTTCCAGAGAGCATATTACTTTAGAAAAGCAAATAAGGCATGATGAGAAATTTATAGAAACGTGACAGAAAATGAATTTATTAGAATCCCTGATATGGTTTGATAAATTAAATTTTTATTTTTTTAAATTACAATTTTATCTTTAATATGAAAAGAGAAGAAGACAATTTAATTATCTCATTAGCGTTTATCCGTTCAACTTGTCACACGGGTCACAGTGGTATTGCAACGCACGCTGAAAATACTCTAGATAATAGACGACGTACGAGATGTACGAGGCAATCGAGGAATCGCCGGGGCCTCGTGTACATTGCGCAGAAATAAAAGCGTCGCAAATAGCTTGCGCAATTTACTGGCCATTTGCTACCGTAGTCGCAGCTACATTAGGGAACTCGGAGTTATTATATAAGTCGCGTTTCTATCTCTCTTTTTCTTTTTCTCAACGGAGTCTGTCAAATCCAATGGGATTCGCGTGCTATTATCACGGGAAAGGCTGCAGGCGGGCGAGAGGCGACCCGATGCTCGACAATCTCCGGGATTTTCTCAGTCTTCTCCCTGCATTGTCTTCTTCCGCGGCACCGTTTCTTTGTCCTCGTTATCGTCCGAGTTATCCGGCGCGCGGCTGCGCCAATTATATCGGCGACCGAGAGAGCGCTTCGCGGTCGACAATAGAAATCGCCTGCAGACTTTCCGCACGGCCCCCGCAGCCATTTCCACCTTCTCTCCCTCTCCCACCCGCCGCTATATCCTCTTTCCTCCGCGCACTTTTCCACCGGCGACGACAAACAATACAAGCGTCCCGACGTCGGCCGCGTCGCGACAACAACAAAGTCGTCGGCAAAGCTATTGTCCGCTTGGCGATCCAGGCACCGCGCGCCTTCCTCGTGTCCGAGGTCGCGCGACGACTATTGTACGACCGCAGAACGAACACGACGACGACAACACGAAGACGACAACGACGACGACGACGACAACCGCCGTCTTCCCCTCGGAAGACGTCGTGATTTTGCGGGAATTTGTCTTCCTTCCCTGCCGTCGCGTTCCCCTTACAACGTTCTTTCATTCCTGGTTTCTTTTCTTTATTTACGATTTCTCACTATGCGCCGCTTGGCTATGCACACAAATGCGCGCGCGTAAAAGCGCGAATATGATGGACCGAGCGCGCGTGGACGAGTTATCGCCGGCGACGGACTGCCTTCCTTTTTATTATTTCCTTTTATGGTGCTCTGCGCTGCTTCTCTCTCTTTCTTTTTCTCTTCATTCGCCAACGTATTCGCACGTTAAGGTTTTTTTCCCACCGTTACATTTAAATTTATGTCTGCCGCAACGCGATCGTAAGACCTCGGCGTTTCGCACAAGAATTTTTCATTCCAGAGATTCTCGCCGACAAGACACAAGACAAGATTAAGTCACAGACTGCGGCCTTACTCTGTTAACTTGATTAACTTTGCACGAAGGATATATATTTAAGAGCATCTATTACTTCCCTTAAACTTTGATCGCAGATATACATAATCCTAAGGTGATTAAGTCCGATCGCGCAGTGACATTCTGTATTCATGTTACTGTCTGACTAATAATGACATTTTCTACTAGTGTTTCTGTTTTTCTCTTCAGATGAATTTAGATTGTGATAACGATAACAGTAGATTGAATTGGCTCTATCGATATTGATATAATATATAAAAAATTGGTGTTCTTGCAAGCTGTTTTTTAATTAAAACATATAAACAGATTATTTATAATATCAATAGCATCGTCCAGGATTATTTCACATCGTAGGTGATTATTCAAACAATACTGATTGTGAGACATAACGATTTATCCCCTTCCGCGCTCTCGCTTGACCTCTTCCTTTTGTATTCTCGTATGATCTAACGGCGTTGCGCGCCGCCTGAGTGAAATACAATGGAGAGAAATCAACGCGGAACGGTCGAGTCCAAATGTCTCGCCGTTTTATTCCCGCCTTTTTAGATTCGCCATGCGTCCGCACGAGAAGGATCCTTTTATCGTTACTTTCGGCTTTACGTCTTGTGATCGTAAGATTTCAGGGATGCACCATCGGAAAGGGAATCGGGAAGATGCCAGGTTCTTGCTTTTCGAGGATCTGCTCGCGATCGTGAAAGAGGTACTGATCTCTTGACACTCTCGTTTTACGAGAAGAGACGCTTACGTATCGGTGATAAAGAGATTGTTTCCCAAGAGGATCGAAGTTAAAAC